TTAATGTCTCGAAGCCTCCTGCCAACCTCAAGAATGACGCCTGAAAAATAATTTTGAAATGTCCTTGGGACCTTGATAGCATAATTGATGTAATAAAAAATATTAATTTAAGAAGCTGAAGGATCAAACTGTCAAAGTCTTTGATATATGTTAGATGAATGCCCTCCCAAAATAGATGTAGAACAGTGCTTGAATAGGATCATTCTTTCTAAAGCGGTGGTTGAAATCCATGTCTTGGGCAGGCAAAGATAAAGTTTGATTCGAGTCAAATATGGCTCCCAGTGACTTCAGGATCCTTCCTGGCAGTACTCTTTTTTGTATATATATAAAAAGTTTTTTATTAATAATATAAAATTTAAAAAAACATTGGACATAGATATGACATCACTGGTTCCAAACCTCTTCCGTCACTTTACAATAATATTAGTACTCATATAAACATATAGTTCTTAAGCTTTGTTCATTATTTAAACATAATATAACATTATATTAATACTTTTTCCTTTATTTTTATATATTTATCTCTTAAACATACATTTATTTATTTATTTATTGGTTTGATTTATATGCCGCCCTTTTCCGGAGATTCAGGGAGGCTTACAATGTGTTAAGCAATAGCCTTCATACTTTTGTATATACCTGCTTAGTAGGGCTTCCCCACCCCCCAAAGCAGTGTTCTTTTTTATACAAAGTCAGCTTATTGGTCCCAGAAACCGGGTCCTCATTTTACCTACCTTGAAAGGATGGAAGGCTGAGTCAACCTTGAGCCTGGTGAGATTTGAACTTGGAATAATTGCAGGCAGCTGGTGTTATTTAACAGTGCTTTAGTCTGCTGCGCCACCAAGGCTCTTTGTCATTTATCTATAATATCTATATTTTTGTTCTAACACTATACATTTGTCTTGGCTACCCTCTTGTTATCTATCCAATCATAAAATTGTTCCCAGATTTTGTAGTACTTAGTTTCGCTTTTATCCTTGAGTTCCAAAGTAAGTCTGTACATTTCTGCGCAGTTAAAGATTTTTAGTAATATTTCCTCTTCAGTTGGAATATCTTTCTCTTTCCATTTTTGAGCGAAGGCTATTCGTGCCACTGTGAGTATATGCAGTAATAAATAATTTGTATCTTTCTTATATTTTCTTTCTATAATTCCCAGTAAGAAAAATTCTGGTTTGACTTCTATATTTGTTGACAAAATTTCTTCCAGCCAGTTCTTTAGCAAATTCCAAAATTTTTGCACCTTTGGGCATTCCCACCATATGTGGCAGTAATTCCCAATGGTCTCTCCACACTTCCAGCATATTGAGGATTTCCCCTTATTCATTCATGCTAATCTTGTGGGGGGGAGGTGCCACCTATAGAATATCTTATAGAGGTTTTCCTTATAGGAAGTTGCTAGTGTGATTTTTACATTTTTTTCCCATAAACTTTGCCAATTGTCCAAATTGATATTGTTCTTGGCAGTACTCTTGACAACACCATGGAAGAGATTTGTCATTACTTTCTTTCAGTATCCTTTTTCCAATTTCTAGTTTAGTTGACCTACAACCATGGTACTTCTTGATGGTCTCCACTGAAATATTAATGAGATTCAACTCTGTTTAGTTTTTGAGATCAGCCAGGTTTAGTTAGATGTTGGAGCACAAAGCCTAAAACAAACTTGCATGGAAATTCAGAAATGGCATTCATCTTCAGGGAATGTTTACTTTTGTTTGCTGAATTTTAAGGCAATGGCAACTATTAGCATACTAAATTTAATAATGCGTGCATCCTGCAGTTTAACTTTGTTTATAATTTCTGAATCCCAAATGCTCCACATTTGTCAATTAATGATAACATAAAGGAAGTACAATAAACTCTTCTCAGTAAGTGATATGTTCCTCTTGCAAGACCTCAGTTTAAACATTCAATCAACCTCTAGTCCAGTTTGTTGGAAGATAAATGCTCAGTTTGCTCTATACATTTAACTTTGGTGGAAATATTCAAGCAATATTCAAAAGAACAGGAGTTTTGGAACATCATTCTGAATTCCTGTCAGAAAATCCTCCTCATTAGATCATTGGAAACTCCTGAGGCCATTTTGACCCTAATCTTAGATTTCTGTTAAAAAAAAAAAGTTTTTTATTATATATGACAGGGTAATATATATCCTGAATGATTGTCTTCAAAGCAGCTCATTGCACAATAACAATAGTTCCAGGATTCTTCTTACCGTATTTTCAGATGGATTCCAATTATGTACAAATTGACATATTCCCTGTTGAATGATATTCTAAATGAGTATAACTTTTCTCACTAACAGATATTCAGATAGGAATCTCAAACTAATGTAGCATTAGTTGGTGATACAGACAGGGTTGGGCTAAGTAGGATCAGTCCTTTATTGCAATATTTCAAGACACTGTGAAATCTCTGGGGGAGTTGGGCAGTTCAAAAATGAGAAAAATAAAGAAATAAATTTAGGCCATGGTGGCACAGTGGTTAAAGTGCAGTCCTGCAAGCTAGTACTGCTGACTGCTGGCTGCCAGCAATTTGGCAGTTCAAATCTCACCAGGCTCAAGATTGACTCAGCCTTCCATCCAGGGATGGGTTCCACTTACCTTTATTACCGGTTCACAACAGGAGCACAGATTGTCAATTATGACCTCCAGGTGGGTGGGCGGAGCCTCCCACCGCTTTTATTACCGGTTCGCAAGGACCGGACAGAACCGGGAGCAACCCACCACTGCTTCCATCCTTCCTAGGTGGGTAAAATGAGAACCCAAATTGTTGGGGGCAATATGCTGACTCTGTAAACCACTTAAAGAGGGCTGTAAAGCACTATGAAGCGGTATATACGTCTAATTGCTATTGCTATTGCTAGGCAAGGTGTATTTCTATAATATCTGGATTCTCAAAAGAAAGTCTTCAGATATTATTCTATAGGTTTTTTTTGAAAATGCTAGAATTTGGAAATATAATTCAACATACTTATCCTTGGTATTGCCTATCAGCTTTCCCTTTAAGAGGACAGGCAAAATAAGAATAATTTTCTGTGCAATATCTTAAAATTATAAACATTTCTCCAAAAAAAATCTATCCTGAGATTAGGTTTAGTTTACAAAAAGACATGAATTTTCACACTGATAAAAGTCATATCTTGGATATGAATATATACACTATTACCACAATATCTCATGTAGCTTTAGGTACATATAAATCTTACCAGCTTTTTCCAATATGTTTCATTTATTCCTCTATCATTAAGGTCTGAATTCCATTTTTTTAAACTTACATCATCAGTCCCATAAATTGCCTTAAAATTCTTGAGATGAAAGATACATGCACACCATGAAATATTCTAAGTGTTGAAGCCAAGAAAATGTGGAGCAGATTTCTTCACATTTGACTTAAACCCTATGATTTAAAGTCTCCTATTGCTGATCCACATGGAGAAAAATCACCTTGGAGAATGGGGAAGGAAACTAGATTATTGTAGGTAACTTTCTGGCATAAATCACATTTTTCCTAAGGGACCATAGACTGAGTGATAAGGTCCATGATTTTGTAAGTGAAAACAACATTCTGAACATCATTTCCTTAATGAATAGCAATATTTATGGTCTAGACCAGGGGCATCAAACTTGCGTCATCACAGCGTCGTCGTGTGACATATCACGACTTTTTTCCTCTTCGTTAAACTGGGCATGGGCGTGGCCAGTGCATGATGCATCCGGCCTGCAGTCCGCGAATTTAACAGCCCTGGTCTAGACCATCCTTTCCCAATCTGATACTTAGCAGGCATGTTTGGAGACCAGAGTCCTATTTTGATTTCTTCCTTTTCATAACAATTTGAACATAGGTACATGTCCTTAGATTCCAGCCATAATTTTTCGCTTAATCCCAAGAGAAAGCATATATAAGACGTAGATTAAACCAGTCTATAATTAGAACATTGTATAAATATAACAAAAAAAGAGCTGATTAATTTTCATGAACTAATGTGTGGACCTATGAGGCATAAAATCTAACCCAAGCCATCAGTTGAACATCCTGTGCGCAATCATCTTTAGAGAAACCTATGTAATTTGGCTCTTAAGTAATTATATTAGATGAGGTATTCTCCCACAGCCTTGGCCTCTCAGAAAGTTGAACAATAATGGAAGTGGTACTATTTTTCATTTCCTTCTAAATAATTTGGAAGTTTTTGCCTACCAGTGGAATTGGCAGGAATCCTAGCAACGTTTTCCTTATGTTCCCATTTTGAGATACAAGTCCTTAATGGAAAGCTTATTGAAAATACTACTTTAAAAAAAGAAAACATTTTGCAGGCTTCTTCTGTAAATGAGCAATTAAAGGACCAGAATTTGAGATCTGAGTTATTAGGTCAGAGACAGGAAAGAAATTGTTCAATAGAATAGACATGTCCTTATTTCTGCAGACATATCTGCACATTTGTGTATGTCAGAATGACTGCACCATAATCTGTACTGATGCAAAAGAAGGCATAGCATAAATAGACTTTTGCACTAAAGCTTTTTTTTTAAAAAAATTAGACATTACATTGGAGAATGTATATATAGCGTTGTACTGCATTTTAATAATAGAAATGATGTGTACACATTTCATTTTTCTCTGAAGAATAGGATAGCAAATTCCTTTTTAAAGAATGGTTTGACCCAAAAAATCTAAAAAAAAATTGATCCATTGAATCTTAAGAGTGGACCATATTCAAAATTACATCCTTTGTTACCAGCCAGTGAGGAGCCAGAGGTTGATTAGCTTTGTCCACTTCTACTAAGATAAAAATCCTACTGAATTCAGTGGCGTTTTCTCCCAATTAAGGATACAGTTCTAAGGATAGAGGTCATAGGATTCATACTGTACATATCAGCTAATTTTAGCGGAATTATGCTGGGTAGAAAAAGGAGAACTACTCCAGTTGTCCATATTGTGTATTGCATGTAAAGTTTTCTCTCCCATACTATGTTCAAGTCTTTTTTATTTTTCTGCCTTTTCAGATTCTCCGCAGCATCCTGCTCTTCCCTACGATAGAACGCATGGCACAATCCCCACATGGCAAGCTCCTGACTCCCCTGTTCTGTCATCTCCGTTATATTTTATACATACCTATATATTTGTTCACCCTTTTACCAGAAAGAGTCAAAAGCTTCTTGGTCCCCTTTGCACTGAATGATGAAACTGCAGTAACGACAGTGGTGGACATGCTTAACATGGATTGTATTGGTGAGTAGGACCAGCACATGAGGCTTGCTCTTTCTTCTAAATTATTCTATCATTAAAAAAAAAAAATTAATGTATTCAGTAACAATTTGGGGAAAATATTTTAAAAGTTTGAGTCAGTGGTGAAATCCAATTTTTTTTACTACCGGTTCTGTGGGCGTGGCTTGGTGGGCATGGTGTGGCTTGGTGGGTATGGTGTGGCTTGGTGGGTGTGGCAGGGGAAGGATACTGCAAAATCCCCATTCCCTCCCCACTCCTGGGGGAAGGATATTGCAAAATCTCCATTCCCACCCCATTCTGGGGCCAGCCAGAGATAGTATTTGCCGGTTCTCCGAACTACTCAAAATTTCTGCTACTGGTTCTCCAGAACCTGTCAGAACCTGCTGGATTTCACCCAGCAGGGGTTTGAGTGGTAATGGTAAATTTGGCTCTTGGGTTTCTAGCAATATGGCAAAAGCCAAAGTAAAAATGCCTTTTCCCCCCAACAAAAAAAGCACTTGGCCTTATTGCCATGAGCTCAAAAGCCCGATTGGGCTTATTATCAGGGGATGTCTTATTTTTGGGGAAAGAGGGAGTGTGTGTGTGTGTGTGTTGCCAAGGCTCCCATGTCCTTATAGGACAAGTTAAGAGGGAGTAATGGCTAGGTTTAGAAAAAAGTAGAATGGCATTGCCGAAAAGCATCTCTTTCTCAATTCTGCTGATTAAAAATATCTTCTGAATCGGGGCCTTCCATCATCAACAGGAAATTAATCAGAAGTGCAACTCAGAACATTTACAAAAACAAACAAACATCTCCAAACAGGTTTTTTTTAGATGTATTCCATGTTTCCTTAATAGTGCTTGTTGTCCCATTCTGTTTTAAAATCTTAAACCTTTTTGCCCCTTTTTTTATAATTTTAGAGCCAATCCTTCCTCTGCTATATTTCAGAGGTGCACTTCCTGAAAATATTTGGTGCTGTTCCCACTATTTTGAAGTGGAAAGATATGATAATTGAGTGGTAAGCCTTAAAATAATGCTTAACTGTAACCATCTCCTTCAAAAGAAAACACCAGAAAAAAATGGGAAATCCCATTCCCACCGATTGTATGATGTAACTACGACTGTTTTGCATCTTTGACAAATGGAAATTTAACAAGGAGAGATCTAACCTAGAACTAGGGAGAAGTTTCCTGTCAATGAAAACAATTAATTACTGGAACGACTTATCTCCAAAAATTGTAGGTGATCTATCACTGGAAGTTTTAAAGAAGTGATTGGACAGCCATTTGTCCAGATTGGTAAAGTGTCTCCTGCTTGAACAGGGAGTTGGACTAGAAGATCTCCAAGGTCACTTCCAGCTCTGTTATTTTGCTATTCATCTCAGTGCTTTCTGAAGAATTCTTCAAAGAATTCATTACAAATAGGTTCTTTAGCCAGATAGAAATCCCCAACATTTTAGTGAACGATATATCTAATTGTATGTATCAGTTTAGTCAACTACAGAATTGAGATTCTGAGCAGCAAGGTCTGCATGGATAAAACCATGGACGAGAAATATTGGCAACATAATGGAGGCAAACAGGTTTGTCCCATTTCATCTTTATAGGTGAAAGAGTGGGAGGCTTTCCATCTTGCATTCCATACCTCATTCCTTTGGACAATATGGTATCAGTTTTGTAAGGATTATAATTTTGAAACTTAGTATGGTGGGTCTGTCATGTTTGTTTTTTCACAGCTAAATGGGCCATTGCCAGACTCCTGTCTGGAAGGAAGCACAGAAAACATTGATCATGCAATGATCAGAGAATGAGCTCTTGGGGATTTGGTCCTCTGGCAACTTCCCATTTTTTTATGTAATTAAACCCTTTTGGGAATGACTGGTTTTATTTGGCTGCACTTTACTAGCAGCCTTTAAATAAAATTAAATATTCGTTGATTTCAATGAGTCGCCTTCCTTGGAAATGAATCATTGTGGTTGGCTGAGTTGAAAGGAAATGCCCACAAACATTAAGACTGTGAGAGTAAAGGGGTTGTATATAGTAACAAACTCCTAGGCTTCCTGTATAGGTAAGTAATCTAGGAAGTGGCATGTCCTGTACCATCTGCTTTAGATTAGCAGTAACTGACTATATCTTGGTCAGCAATCGTGGCTATTTTAACTTGGCTTTACCAACCTGTGAGTGTGCAGTGAAATAAAATTGGAACAAACATTATATCCATTTGCCCTTCAATAACCCATTAGGTATAGTTCAGAAATGTTCAGCAAATGAATTTATTCCTCCTCTCCAGGAGGTTTGTGTTAACTAACTCATTAAAAGTGTATGTGTGTGTATGTGTTACCTTTGGCATTAGTTTCTGTCTCATTGCTGTAATTGCAATAAAATCCATGATGAGAAGAGAAGGTAAACGTTTCCTTTAAAATGATGTGTTTCCTAGCACAAACTAACCTGCCAGGGACTCATTACCACGTCCGGACCTTACTCACAACAATATGTTTTCTCTCCTCTAAAAAGGAAATGAGATTTAGAAAATCTAATTATAACAAGACTAAGAGCCTAGCCCGCCTTCCATCAAACTCAAAAAGTAAAACACCATTTAGAAGGAGTGTGGCCTCAAGCAAAGTCTTGGTTATGTTGTTGTTAATGGGAGAATTTCAGCAGAATAAAACATAAGCTTCAAAGTACATAGGAAGTTTCAGCAATCAAGAAAGAAAGCATGGTGGTCAACATTATACCATTCAGTGTTTAGCTAAAAGACCTTAAAATGGTTCTGTGTGGACTTATGAATAGAGGACTAAATATTAATAAATAAATCAGCTAAATACTAAATAAGTAAGCTGTCTCAATAACAACATAGCTTATTAGAATTTTCTTAGGATTTTTTTTTTTTTTTTTTTTTTCCTAGTCATATTCTTTATTCAAATATTGCATTTTCAAAACCTATTGGGCAGATACTGTTCTCTAATGTTGCCCTATTACAGAGGTCCCCAACCCCCGGTCTGTGGACCAGCACCAATCCGCAGCATGCCAGAAACTGGGCTGCGCAAACAAGTGAAGCCCCATCTGGAGGATGCAGGCAGCCTGTGAAACCACAGCCCCTCTAATCCACAGAAAAACCTCTCTCCGTAGAACTGGTCCCTGGTGCTCAAAAGATTGGGGGGCCACTGACCTATTACATTATATGTGCAATATGTAGAAATCAGCATTGATATTACAATAGATTGGGGATATTAAAATAGGGATTCTGCTACCTTGCTCTCAAATAATTGGGCATACCCTCTCAGAAGTCATGTTTAGCTGCTTCTCTGCTTTCAGGAAATAAGCTAAGACTATTTTAACCCTTTTTCTTTTAGCTTTATATGTTTAATTATTTTGAGAGCCTTATGGGTATAAAAATAGGTATACATTGAAATAAGAAATTATATATATGTGGTTGTATGTGTGTGTCTGCATGCACATGTGCATTTGTTGAAACTAGATATACAGTATGTCAGAGAAGTGAGTACACCCCGTCACATTTTGTAAATATTTAAGTATATCTTCTCATATGACAACACTGAAGAAATGACACTTGGATACAATGTAAAGTAGTGAGTATACAGCTTGTATAACAGTGTAAAGTGTTATTTTACACAGGGGTGCTTAGATCTGGCCCTGTAAACAGCGAAGGACCGGCCCACAGTGCCTCTGCCAGCGAAAATGGAGCTCTGTTTTCACTGGCAGAGGGTTGCAGGAGGCCGTTGCAGCTGAAAATGGAGTTTGGGAGCCCGTTTTTGCTGGCAGAGCGCTCGAGCCACCAGAGGCACCCCATCATGAATGACGTCGAGCTGACCAAGCCCACCCTGGCCCCTGAAGTCAAACACAACCCTGATGCAGCCCTCAATGAAATCGAGTTTGACACCCCTGACATACACTGTTCTTAACAGTGACAGCACAATCCTTAAGGTCCTCACAAAGGTGCTAGTTAGACAAATAAAAAAGAAACACAAGACGACGAAATGGCTACCTCAGAATAGTTTTACACGTTCATCCACTTTGTTACATTTTATTATTCCCCAAAGGTTTTCCCCTTTTGAAAAATAAAGATGCTTAACCACCTCCCAAACAGAAATCATCTTCTTCCACGTATTAAGCATATTAAACTGCTAGCAAATGAAGGGTTGCCCAAAAAAAGGGGGAGGGAGTGAAATATGCTTTCTTTATAGGTTATATTATGAATGCAATATGGGTTTTTTGGGGGGAGCGGGGAACTTTTTTTTCCCCTTTACTTTTAACAACTTACTGCCTGAAAAATATTTTCCATTGAGTATGTAAGTAGCTGATTTAAGGTGAGGGCAGACAGGTCTGTATCTATAACGCACAGGATTTATTATACACTAGCTTGACTGGCAAACTTCCTCCGTTTGTTTCTGTAAAATTTCCACAAAAGTACAGACATTACATAATGGGCAAACATTGCAAGCCTTTTTGAGAGAGGCAGGCTTCTGGGTCAAAGGTTAACGTCTGGATGACAGCAAAGATACAGATAAGGCCAGTAAACCCCCCAAACCCCCTCCTTACATGCAGTCCTTCCTTGCAATCTTAAATCTGTTGCTTCTCTGGAGGAATTTCCTTGGGTTTTTGTTTTTTTTAAAATCTGTTTACTGACCAGAAGAGTACTAAAGATGGTTTATTTTATAATATTTGGCAGTGATGGAAGAGATGGGGGGAGGGGAGTCCTTATCTTGGGAAAACAGCATTTGAAATTGTTATTAAAAATGAAATGGAAAACTATATTCTTCCCATTTTATATCAAAATGAGCATAATTGGATACAAACCATATTTAATAGTTGGCAGTCAGGGGGCTGAATAAGTGGATAATGAGCAGGAAGGAGAAACTAAGACCTTTATATTTTTCTTTTCTTTCTCCTTTCCTCTCCTCCCCTCCCCTCCCCTCCCCTCCTGCCCTTTTCACTTCCATGAGTGAGCCTGAGAATCAATGTTTCGGTGAACTAGAGAGGTTAGAAAGCTTGAATGCAACCTA